TTCCCTACATCCCACTGGCTTGCCCTTCAGCACATGAGAATCTCATTTGTTTTAGAAGCACAATTACATCTTTCAAATGGATCCACTGAGAACATCAGAAACGAAAAAGTATATTGAATGTGCCCAAGTAATTTGTATTGCCATTCTCCCTAAAACACCATATACAAATTGCTTCTGTGGTCTCCAAGACATTAAAAATTGCACATTAAAAGGAAGCAAAAGCTATTTTTAAAGTTGAAGCTTAAAAATTGATGAATGTTGGAATTGCTTAAATTTTCTTCTCCCCTCCACACCCCCATCCCAAAGGCCAGTCCAAAACATTCAGAAGTTGATAAATTAGGCTCTTGCAACTCAATTTTGTAATCACTCCAGCAGCAGATCAGGACAGGAGCAGCCTTCTCCTAGCAGCAAACTGGCTGCGCATACCTCTGAGTCCCCTCCTCCTCACCCACATCACAACATAAGCTCATTTCAATTAAAGTGATGTCAGGCTCTCAGCAGAAAGGCACTGAAAGCTTCTAGCAAGAGCATGGAAGAATATCACTGAATTGATTCCATTAGGGTAATCTGAAAGAAAATAATGATTTATCAGACTCAGAGCTTGGAAACAGAAAACAAACAGTCTGTGGCAGAGCAGAGAGAAACTCATAATCAACCCAATAAACATGGAAATGGGAAAGCTCTCAGCCTCCTGTAAATTAAAGTGAAATATTGTGATAATGCTAACAAGGGGTTCATAGAGCTGTTCAAAGTACCAGGAGAGGAGGAGATCAGAAGCTTCCTGATAATGGCAGTGGGATGCAAACAGCTTCACCCAGGTGAGATGAGGAGGATTACAATTATCCAGGTACTGTACCAGCAGAGACAGCCTGCATCCAAAACAGGTGCAAAAATAAAAAATCTCTCCCAAAACAAAAACACATGGGCTGGCCTCAAGATCTGCTAAGCCCCATGTGAAATAAGGATGCCAGCCAGGCCTCAGGAAAGCATCCAGAACACCCACAGCAAATCTGGAGACAAGGCCCTCAGAAGCCGTGCGGAGCTGGCAGGTGGTGGCAGCAGGAGGGACCACCAAGCGCAGCAGCTGGGGCAGCCTCCTTGTTTGAAGAGGTCAGACAGACAGTAGTGAGGAAGGTTTCATTAACCCTGAGCTGCTCAAATTCCCGCAGCTCATTTCTCCAGGAATGTAGGTAATAGGTTATTGCAAGAAAGGAGACCTCCGGTGTGTGTGAGCAGAAGAGGTGTCGGGAGAACAGGATCTCCCAGAAGTCCAAATTCTTGTCCAGCTACATATTGAACACCTGGTAAAGCCCTGAAAAAGTCAAGAGGACTGGTGAGGGGATCAGGGTGAGAGCGTAGGTGTGAATGATGAGCTATTCAACTGTGAAAACATCTGCAAAATGACCAAAAATTAAAGGCAGTCCAGTGCAAGAAGAGGGAAGTTCCATGATGGAGTAAATGTTCTGCTGCTTGGTTGCATTTCCTCTACCCTGCCTTTAATTTAAGAAGCAGACAAAGACAAAGCAAAATTCACTTGGAATCTATCCTGCATCTGACCCACTAAGGCCTCTCTTCCAGCCTCAAGCAATTGTTTTTCACATGTTGCACAAGGGAGCAAGTTAAATCCAACCACTGCATTTAATCACCTCCACACAAATACCATCCAGGGTCTGAACTGCTCCTTTTTTAGATTTGCCAGGCACCACCTGGGACTCGGGCAAGACAGATCCTTCTCCAGATGCTGGTTGTGTTGAGACCTCACCTGCTCTCTGCAGTCCGAGAATGGAGGTGAACTTCCACTGTCCAAAATATCCTGGGAGCTCTTTGCTTGTCACCTGTAGCCAGCACACAGCTCAGCAACAAGCCTAATACAGCCCACAACAGGTATCTGGCAACTCAAAGATGCTTAAATGTTTTAAAACTAACTCAGCAGCACCAAAAAAAAGGAGAGATACCTTCCTAGTTAGAACCGAGAACATATGCTGGCTGCTACATCTCTGGAAAACACAGAAGATAACAATAATTATCCACACTTAAGAATAAAATATTACTTTTATTTTAGTAAAGTAACAAAGCTTATTTACAGATACAATAACTGTACATTACAATTGAAAAATAGAATGTGCTAAAAATCATTAAAACAAGCCACAAACAGTCTGTTAGGAACACAAACAACCTCAAACCTCCCAACGCCTTCAGCTCCTGTCTTCTCTCAGCAAATCAGCTTGTTTTGTTCTGAATGATTTTCTGCTGATTCTCAAGACATTCCTTCAGCTTGTCTTCAGTGAGTGTCAGCCTCTGCTCCAGGATAGAAACGGTCTGCAAAACAAAATGAAAGCTGCTGCTGAGCTGCTCACAAAGACAAGCTCCCTACTGTACTCTCAGTGGGTAATAAAATGCTAAATTCACAGGAGTATTCCAAGGTATTTCAGGGCTGTAACTCCAGTATCAGCATTTTAGCAGGGCAGAGCCACATGACTTCAGAGAGCAGCAACAGAGGCTGGTGAGCATGAAGCTCTCCTGCAGACAACATCAAGCACCTCTTCTGACACTTGGTGCTTTCAATTTGGGCTCTGCATTTCCTTTCATGGGCAGGTTCTGTCCTTCCATGCTGAAGGGCCACCAGACACTCTCCTGCTGACAAGACACAGAGGTTTTGAACAGTTTTGCCCAATTTTAGCTTTGATGTTTCCTCTCTGCTTCTGACTATTTCTTCCCTTCCCTGAATGCTGTCCATTTGCAGCAATTAAACACACGAAACTTACTGGGCAAGCATTATGAGAAACAAGAAACTCCCCCCCAGAGTAAGGCACTGGGAAGTAAGGAGGGGAACTGAAACCCAGTGTCCTTATCTATCTCAACATAATATCCAAGTATTTTTATGTAATCCAGTTACCCCACAAAGAATTGTCCTATCTTCCTCCTCGAGCTGAAGTCATCATGCACAGGAAGAACATTTTAACCATGTGGCTATAAAAGCTTCTGCTGAAAAAACTTTTATTGATCTCTCCTAGGTAATCAAATGACCCAGCTATGCAGAACTGCTTTCAGCTTCCAAAGACACCGGAACGGCTGATAATAGACGGTGATGATTTAATGCTTTAATATCCATAAACTTACCAGCAACGATCAATACATTCATACTTTGAGCACTTTTAGTGCATAAATAACATCCTCTGTTAAAAACAAAGGCTGTTCAGAACCTTGGACTTTAATAAAGTAATTCAAATAAACTTGGACATTACTGTTTGTATAGAAGTTATACATAGAAAGCCTTTTAATAGCGCATTTCGTAAGCACATCTCCAAGTGTCTGACAAAAGAAAGCAGGTCTCATTATCCCCATTTTATAGCTGGGGAAACAAAAGCACAAAGAGAGGAAATAGCTTGGCTAAAGCCACTCAAGTGACTAGGAAAAGTCTCCCATAAAATGATTTGGGGAATGAGACAAACGGTGGGGGGGAAGAGAAAACAGATGTAGTAAAACCAACACCAAGCACTATGGCAAAGCCATCCCCTGAGATCACGTTATCAACACATTCAGGATAGGCTGTGCATCAGAACATTTACCATAATGCACACTTTTCCCCTCTCCAAACATAGTCTAAAACTTATTTCTACTGCACACGTACTGCTGACCTGTGACAAGGCAGAACTAGCTCCTACTGCCTAATGCAGCATGGCTGCAGCTGTAGAAAGCTCCACCTGACAGAACAAACTGTCTTGTGGCACTTGCTTCATTGAAGTTTTTTCCTCCTCTATTGCCACCTTTCTAGGCACAAGAACTGCAGTACACAGGGAACCAGAAGAAAAGTTGTGAAGCCAGCAGTTACCATCCCAGGGTCCTAGAGCCAGCAGGAGCCCTCCTGTCTATCAAAGGAGAGAGGAAGGATTTCACCTTTTTCATACCCAGCCACACTAGTGCCTAGTGGCTGTCTTACAGAGGTCAGGAGTAAAGCTACTCAGGGCAGAACAGAGAAGGCTGAATGTCTACCAGAGGTTTACAGCAAAGATCTTAACCTGCAAGCAACCAGACAGAGAATGAAATGGTGCAGGGAGCCTGGCTTTTCCATTTCAAAAATAAGAACGAGTAACTCAAGACTCAGTTACAAAGTGGGGGTGAAACACTGCATCAAATTTCCTTTAGAAAGATAAATCAACTAAATTAATGTCCTGGTCACATCACCTCACTAGAAGCAAAGCCCTGGATTACTTGTGGCTCCTGCATCCCATGATTTATTGCCACCACCATCCTTTCCATACAAGTTAAGTGTTGCTACACACAGCACTGTGAGACTAAGCACAAGAAAAGCAGATTTCAGAAAGCACTGAATTTGTGAAAGAGCTGTAAGGAAAATGTTTATTGGAATGGAAATTGCATGTAAGTATTAGCAGAAAACTCGTAGTGAGTCTTTTTTGGAAACTAATTGTGGAAAAGTAGCAGTCAGAAATTAAATCCAGGAAGCCCAAAGTAGGAACTGATGACTGCAGTCCATTTAGACTTGAATATATGTTGCCTGAAATACCCAGGGCACCTGACACCCTAGAAGGTCGGGGAAAGCACAAATTTTGCCCAGCTGCTATTACTGTTATTTTGTAGCTTACACCTAGAAGAAAAGTTCTTTTATGAGCAGCTGACAGAGTTTTACAATATTTCCATATTGCTATTTATAAAGCTCGTCCTGATTGGTAGGCAAATGAAACTGCATCCATTCTACTCCTGCATGTTTTTGCTACTGCTTTCCAGAAGATAAGGAACCAACAAATAAGACAAAGAGGGAAATACTGTTAGCAAGATTCAGTGAGGGAGCCCTGGAGCCAGGTTTGCTCTCCAGCCCTTTCTCTGTGGCAGGATCCAGGCTTCCTGTTCTGTCAGGAGCACAGCACAAGTCTCCATTAAGCACCAGGGAGTAAATGCTGAGTAATTTATTAAAGTCTTTGCTCAAATTGGTAGAACAACAGATTAGGCTTAAATGAAAATAAAGATCAATTCTTGTTTTGTTACAGTGGTATACTGAGCATTACTAGGGACAGCAGAGAGGAATATGAAATCTTTCACACAAAAGAAAATGTAAATCACTTATACCACCACTTCCTGCAACATTTGTCTTCATTCATCTTCACCAACTTAGTCTACAAAAAAACCTGCTCCTCCCTTTGGAAATACTAATGTAGAAAAAAAAAAATTGCCTCCTATTTACTTTAAGTTCTGGTGAATATTCAGCTCCATCCTCCCCCAGGTCACCTAAACTAAAGCAACCAGTAGTCACACTTCCTTACATGATGACAAGCCCCCTTTGCTATTCCTCTACATTGTTTTTACTCTCTCAACCTAAATAATAGTGATTTATGATGCTGTTCCAAGATGCTTTCATCAGTATCTTTTCCTTAGCCCACATTAAGCATCTCCCTGTCTGATTAAGTAGCAGAGAAATCCAAAGAACAGCTGTCCTTAGGGCTGTGGCTTTTGCAGGGGCCCTGGAGGGACAATCACTCCTGCCTCTTTTGAGTACTACAGATAAGGGGAACCATGTGCTAATTGAATGCCAACAGAAACCAGTTCTACAGCTGCCAGAGGAAACATGAAAAGCAGAGTCTGGAGCAAGCAGAGGCCATCAGCAACCCTCTAGAGCAGTGGTGGGAGTCCCTGCCAGGAATGATTGATCCATCTAGACAGATAGCTGCTCATTCACTCAGGTAGAATTTAACTGGCAACAAACTATTTAGCAGGGCCTGTTTTGATAGGACAAGTGGCAATAGCTTTAAACTAAACGAGGGCAGATTTAGAGTAGATATAAGGAATACTTTTTTACAAGGACGGTGGAGAAACACTGGTACAGGGTGTCCAGAGAGGTGGTAGATGCCTCAAACCTGGAAACTTTCCAGATCATATTGGACAGGGCTCTGAGCAACATGATCAAGTTGAAGATATGGCTGCTCACTGCAGGAGGGACTAGATGACATTTAAAGGTCCCTTCCAACCCAAACCATTCCATGATTAACTTGGAGCTGAGGGCAAAGCAGGCAAGAGCATGGGAACAGTGGAATGATGCTCAGCTCCACTCGGGAAGGACGGCTCAGCAAGCAGCACGAGCTCTTCAGTGTGCCACTCACATGGGTTTTCATTGAGCTAGCACACAGGGGACACGTGGGGGACAGAACAGTGCTCTGGCTGATTACCAGTAATTGTGGGGCTCCCAAAAGAACAATGCATTGATACAACAGTTACTCAGATCAGGCAACAGCAGCTTGGCTGAGTCTACAGGGATACAACCTCACACACTGACTGCAACTAGAAGAAAAGTTCTTTTATGAGCAGCTGACAGAGTTTTACAATATTTCCATATTGCTATTTATAAAGCTCGTCCTGATTGGTAGGCAAATGAAACTGCATCCATTCTACTCCTGCATGTTTTTGCTACTGCTTTCCAGAAGATAAGGAACCAACAAATAAGACAAAGAGGGAAATACTGTTAGCAAGATTCAGTGAGGGAGCCCTGGAGCCAGGTTTGCTCTCCAGCCCTTTCTCTGTGGCAGGATCCAGGCTTCCTGTTCTGTCAGGAGCACAGCACAAGTCTCCATTAAGCACCAGGGAGTAAATGCTGAGTAATTTATTAAAGTCTTTGCTCAAATTGGTAGAACAACAGATTAGGCTTAAATGAAAATAAAGATCAATTCTTGTTTTGTTACAGTGGTATACTGAGCATTACTAGGGACAGCAGAGAGGAATATGAAATCTTTCACACAAAAGAAAATGTAAATCACTTATACCACCACTTCCTGCAACATTTGTCTTCATTCATCTTCACCAACTTAGTCGACAAAAAAACCTGCTCCTCCCTTTGGAAATACTAATGTAGAAAAAAAAAATTGCCTCCTATTTACTTTAAGTTCTGGTGAATATTCAGCTCCATCCTCCCCCAGGTCACCTAAACTAAAGCAACCAGTAGTCACACTTCCTTACATGATGACAAGCCCCCTTTGCTATTCCTCTACATTGTTTTTACTCTCTCAACCTAAATAATAGTGATTTATGATGCTGTTCCAAGATGCTTTCATCAGTATCTTTTCCTTAGCCCACATTAAGCATCTCCCTGTCTGATTAAGTAGCAGAGAAATCCAAAGAACAGCTGTCCTTAGGGCTGTGGCTTTTGCAGGGGCCCTGGAGGGACAATCACTCCTGCCTCTTTTGAGTACTACAGATAAGGGGAACCATGTGCTAATTGAATGCCAACAGAAACCAGTTCTACAGCTGCCAGAGGAAACATGAAAAGCAGAGTCTGGAGCAAGCAGAGGCCATCAGCAACCCTCTAGAGCAGT